CAAAAACCACAAGCAAGACATTTTTATTACATGATAGAATATAGGACAGTAAACAAAAAACTAACAAAATACATAGATACTGGGTAAGTGATCATTTAAAATTTATTTATACATACATCCCTATGAGTTCATGAGATAAGGAGCTCTGTAAGAAACAAAACAAATGAATTGAAAATAAAGGGCAAAGTGTAAAGCTAACGTTTGAGTTAGCTCCCAAAAGCTAGTCTATAGTCTGCACTTAATAAATGTGAAAATTAAAAGAAATCCTCTATTAGACCACTGATGAAATTAGATTAGGAAAAAAAACAGCCAGGAAGGCACCAAAGACAGGAAAAATGTACCTTGTATATCAAACTTAGACTTCAGTAGAGTTTTTTTTTTTTTTAATTGGATTTTTAAAAAATAATCACAGGTCAGCTCTCACTTGAATTCAGAGTTAAATGAGGTAATTCTACTTGTCTTAAGATGTCCAATCCAAGAAACTAACAATAAAAAAATTGTTCTGAGTTGGTAATGGTCCTATGTAATTCAGCAGAAGCAAACACAAAACTAATTTCTGCAGACTGACACCAATTTAGCCTTATTTTTTCTGATATAGGCAGTCTTTGCTTTGCAGTTTTGACATACATAAAGTTTGGTTCACTGTGGTTTAAACAAAACCAATTGTCTAACACTGTGGCTCAAATTTCAACTGCTGTCAAGAATGTACTGTCCTGGACTGGGGAGATAGCTCAGCAGGATAAGTGACTGCCTGCCAAGTGCAAGGTCCAGAGTTCGATCCCCAGTACCACATGCTGTACCAGCCCCCGAACCTGGGGTGTGAGGTGCTACCCTAGAACCATGCATGGTGGTGCACACCTGTAACTCCATTGCTGGGGATGCTGGGAAAAAAAGATCATTATGAGTCTGAACTGCATAGTGAGACCCTGTGTCAGTAAATTTTTTTTTAGAAAAAGAATGTGCTGTCCTGCCAGGCCTGGATGTGCATTCTTATCATCCAGGGACTTGGGAGGCTGAGGCAGAAGTGTCTCCATGAATGTGAGGCCAGCATGGGTTACACAATGAATTCAAGGGCTGCCTGAACTACATAACAGGAACTTGGGTCAGAAAAAAACAATGCTGTCTTCTTAAGGTAAATTAGAAACCTCCCTTCTCTGCTTTCTCAAAGGTTTTATGTAAAATTGGTATTTTAGGGCCGGCCAAATAGCTCAGTGGATTAAAGTGCCTACTTAGGCAGACATAGTTCGATCCCCTGGCCTGCTATGCCAGCCCCACCCCCGGGGCACGCTGAAATAGCTATTGAGACTGGGTGTGGTGGCATGCACCTGTAATCCCAGCACTTAGGAGGCTGTAAACAGGAGGATCACTATGAGTCCGATCTACGCAGTGAGACCCTGTACACCCTGTCCTAAAATTAAAAAAATAAATAAAAAATAAAGTTGGTATTTTTCCTCCTCTAAACATTTGATAAATTTTACTAAACAAGCTGGACACAGTGGCACATGCCTATAATCCCAGCATGCAGGAAGCTGAAGCAAGAAAATTGCTGTAAGTTTGAGGTCAACCTGTCTTAAACAAAACAAAACAAAAAATTTGCTAAGCCATAATTTTTCCATACTGGAGATGGGGGATTACAAAGCAAAATATGTTAATATTTATTATTATTTGTATTTACTTTTTATATGCTATTGATTTTATATGTATTGTTTTAATAATAAATTACCATACAGCTATTCCAATATTTGCATTCTTCCTGAATAGATTGAGCTCCTTTTTTCATTTAGTCATTTTGAAACATGTTATATACAGTTTCCCATTATATTCCAGCCCTCTTCTCTTTGCAGTTCCACCCTGGGTTTCATGAGGTAGGAAGTCAGAGTGGTATCCTTGGGCTGGCTCACATATACATAGCCAGCGATCACATAGGGCTGGTTCTTCTTCTTCTTTTTTTTTTAATTTTATTGAGAAACAAATAGCAATGAGACAGTTTCCAAACCAATTAGTAGGATAGTTTCAATAGTTAATCCATTGCATATTGTTGCCTTCATATTCGTTATTCATAGTACAAGATGCACACATGATATCCTGTCCAAACACTACTAGTACAAATCTTTCCTACTGAATTCAGAGAAAGTAGCTGTATATCTATTATGGACTAATGGACTATATTGGATTATTTTGCTGAATTCATGCACCTACTATATTTAAGTGACAATGGAATACCCATCTCTGACAAAACTAAACAAAAAAAAGGGATACAAATGAAGGACCATTTTGTATTTGTATATACTAGGGCTGGTTCTTTGTAGAGTAGAGGCAAGGCTAAGGACTCTGGGCAGGTGAGCAGCCCTTTCTGTTGCCTCTGGCCTCTGTTAAATTCCCATCAGTGCTCATCTTACCAGCCTGATAAGGAACATTATCAAAGAAACATCCGAGACTCACTCTTTGGTTCAAATGTAGCCATTCCATCTCAAATGCATTTCAATTTTTGGCTCAAAATATTCCTTTCAAACTAGAATTTCTTCTCACAGGGAAGCTGACTTGGAAACAGGGAAGTGGAGAAAGGGATAGTATGGGAGACCCGGGCAAGCAGACTCAAATGACTAGGCCTCTGGATTAGAACAAGGACAGCTACTTTGGGCCTAGAAGAGACCCTGCACTGTAGGTCCTTCTTGTTTAGGACCCAAAAGCAAGAGACAGAGGCAGAGCACCCACCAGTCCTTGTCATCCTACCCACTTTCTGGCAGGCTCTCTGGCATTGTGAAGGCCCTGGGTTCAGTCCACAGTCACACACACACACACACACACACATGCACATGCATATATACATGTACCCCAAGGACACCCAGAGCCATCAGCCAGTGGACAACTTCAGTCAGTGACTGCACTTCTGTTTCTCTATCTACCACCCAAAGGCAGGGTCCGCACTTGCCTCTCTGTGTCTTTGGGGCCCTGTGGGTGGCCTTGAGCCTGGCATGTGTCCACTGTGGCCATACTGTGGCTGTGACCATCTATCACTATTGCTCAGCACCGAGAAGTGCCTGACAGGGATCCCCACCTGGGAGAGAAATGCCAGGTTGTGCCCAAGCCCACTGCCAGGGAGGGTTTCTCGGGAGACCTGCAGCTGCCATTGAGCTGGAGACTTGTCCTACATTTGTCCTGATGACTGGGGCTCTGTTGGGGGCTTCATCTCCTGCAGAAACAACACTCAGAGCCAGCCTGAGCTGCAGGGGCTGACCCTCCACTGAGAAGTCTTCTTTCTCTATCACTGGGGTTGCTAGGGATGGGGAGTGTGGGGGCCCCTTCTATTGGGTCCATCAGGCTCCCTTGGGCCATGACCCAGTGAGGGTGTTTGAGGTCCACATTTTACCTGCACCTGCTGAGTATCTATAACCTCATCTGCTCAAGGTTTCACTAAGTCACTAAGTTGTATAGGCTGGGCTCAAACTTGGGATTCTCCTGCCCCAGCCTCCGAGAGGCTGAGATGACCACCGTGCTGGTATCCCTGTAGGGAAAAGTAAAGGTACAAGATGTCTCCACTTTGGTCAAGGTGCTTGCCTGTGTGTGTGTGTGTGTGTGTGTGTGTGTGTGTGTGTGTGTTGGGGTTGCCTTCCAGTGGACATTAAGTCCAATACCACAAGACTTCTATGCAGGGGCACCTCTTTGCCAAAGTCCATGCTGGCACGTAGCCACCACTGTGTATTTTGATACAAATGTAGATGAAGTGGCCAGTAACTGTGGTGAGTGTACAATAGCTGGGGCCCCAAGGCGGCTACACAGATGGACTGCAGCGAAGCTGCTGAATAAAGATGTGTAACCCACGTGTAAACATCCCCATCTGAACTGTTGACAAGTCACTTCCTTGTTGGCCTTGTAGAATTTCCAAATAATGCAGATTCCTGTTTCTAAAGCTAGTGTGACCTCCAGCTCTTGATTTTTGTATTTTGTGGCACTGGGGTGGAGCCCAGACCTGGCAGAGGTGAGCACTCCTGGTGCCTTCCTTCTGTGCCTTCTGCACAGCTGCGTCTACTCCCCCAGCCACCAAGCAGGGCAGCAGGGTGGTGCCTGTCTGGACCCAGGCTGACTCGGCCTCCTGGACCCGCATGGTGCAGAGGACAGGGCAGCGCAGATTGAGGGGGCGGTGTCACTGAGGTCGGGGCATAGGAAGGTTACCGCGGGTGGGGCTGTGTCAGTGGACTGTGAACCTGGGCAGCGGGTGAAGAGTGTCAGGGATTCAGGTGAACGCCAAGCGCAGGTCTTGTGCTCTCTCCATGCGAGAAAAACAGGAAGGAGCTCTTCAGGCCCTGGCCACTTTCTGCTGGGCTGCGGCTTCCTTACCAAGTTATAGAGACATCTTTTAAGACAAGGCAACACTCTGGGAGGCTGGGGCAGAAGGAATACAAGTTTGAATCCAGCCTGTGTAACTGAACACCTCAGACTCTGTCTCAAAATTTAAAAATCAGACAATCTGGAAATGCAGCTCAGTGCAAAGATGTGGCTTCCAGCTTGTGGGGAGGGGGGATTAAAAAAGAAAGAAAAGGGGTCTCAGTAGCAGAAAACTGCAGACTTGTGAGAGGTGACATTTTCGATGTGGCTTTAAGGTGAGGAAGCTGTAAGATGATTGGAAAGAGAGAAGGTCAAGGTCCGTCCTCTGTAGTACTGAGTGGCAGGAAATCTCACAAAGTTCAGTTGCCTAGGACATTTTAAACCACACTGGTCTTGTAGGTCAGGCTTTTCTGAGAGTGATTTATTTCATTCTCTTAAAAATATACCAGCCCAGATGTCCCTGGTATCGGAGGCTGGCCTTGCACTAAATTGTCTCTTTGGAACGAGTTGTAGTTTTAGAGGCTCCAGGGTGCAGGCTCGCAGGCCCGTGCTGGAGGAATGGCGGCGTGGGCGTCTCCTGGCCTGGGCGTCTCGGTGGCGCCTAGAGACAGAGCGGCCGGGAGGCGCAGACTCGGAGGCGGGCAGCTCCTCCTCCCTGGCCGGTCTCGTGGCACGGGGAGGGGCCGCAGAAGTACCAAGGCCCGGCGGTCCGCGCCCCGCCGCAGCCATGTACCCGACGCGCGCAGGCGAGCGTCTGCGGGTGGTGCTGGGCCACCTGGGCCGGCCGGAGGCCGGGAACCCGGTATCCTTTGGGCGTGGGGCGGCCGGGGGGCGGCCGGGACGCGGCCCGGGACGCCGGCACTGCTCAGCGGTCCGGCCCCGGACCTCAGGGCTGCACCGCCGTCCCGTCGTCCTTTCGCCGCCGAGGTCAGCGGCGGCGCGGGGCGGAGGGGACGAAGGCCAAGAGCTGTTATTACGCGGGAGTAGGGGGTGGAACGGGGGAGAACCGCGGCCTGGGGACCGCAGCCTGCACGGCCACGCTGGGAGCGTGGGATCGCCGAGCGGCCGCCAGAAGTCCCCGGCGGCTTGACTCTGCCCAGCGGGACGCGATTCCCCCCTCCCACCACCACCCGGCTCAGCCCGAGCCCCTGGGGCTCCGGAGGTCTAGGCCTGGCGCTCGCCGCAGCCCGCGTCTGCGCGGGACCCCACCTGCTCCGGGCCGAGGTGCAGCCCAGCCCCCGGCCTGGGCTTGCTGCGCCCGCTGTGTGGCCGGCGGCCCAGCATCGTGGAGACCCGGATCTCTCACAGGAGAACCCGAACATTCCACTGGATTTTTAGTCCTGCTGGTTCTTGATTATAATAGTACTGGATGTAACCCTCAGTGTTCTTATCTGTGTTTCCTAGACTTTCTGCAGTGATGGGCATGTTCTGTCCCTGAGCTCGTCTGTAGGAAAGCGGCCAGCCACCTGCCCCTGCTGAGCACATTGTTAACTTTAGGTAATCTTAGTTAAATAGCCCAGTGCGGCAAGGGCTGTGATATTGGATAGAACCAGCCAAGGTTTGCAGTAAATATGTCCGTTGGTCTTAAGTAAATTCCTGGAAATTTTGTGACACTTTCTCCCAAGTTTAATTGTTTCTAAGCAATGTGAATTTTGGAATAATCGTTTTTGTAACATGTTAAAATGCATACAAGAAGAAAGGAAAAAATAAGTACATATAATTCATTATTCCACAGAACAAATCATTTTCACACTTTTACAGTGTTCTTTTAATATATATATATATGCTTTTTTGTGTAGTTTTTGCATCCATTTTTTTTTCCCTAACTTTGTATTGTAAACATTTTCACATCATCAAAGTTTTTTCTAGGCCAGGAATATTGCTCAGTGACACAGTGCCTGCCTGGCAAGCCCCAGGCCTTGAGTTCAATTTCTGATACAAAAAAAAAAAAAAAAAACAAAAAACAGTGCAGTTAAAATTTTTCTAAGAAAAACAACAAAAGAACCATGCCACAAAACTAGTGGAGAGGGGACGAGAATATTAACAGAAGGCCGGAGCCTAGATGTCCACACAGTGACCTGTGCTGAGAAGAGACAGCGCAGGACAGTGACCTTCTGCCTTCAAGGACATAGAGGAGCCAATGACTGGCCCTTGGTTGTCTGACATCTGGACTGGGCAGCATCACCATATTACGTAAAGACACCCTCTCAGAAATGGGAAATGCTTGTGACAAGTGATAGTTTGAAAGCAACTCAGAAACAAGGAAAAAAAAATAAAACAAATGCTATGACAATGACCTGCAGTGACTGGATAGAAAAGAAATTTTACAAAAGAAATTTTTAGTTCTTTCAGATATTTAAAATTATTCCTGTTTGCCTCATACTGTTCTTAGAATGATTTCTTACTTAATAGACTCATTGCCCCTAATGGTCAACCAAAGCATTTTTTAATATTTTGAACTGAAATGCCTAAGATGTTTGATATTCAGACAGATAGTGAGGTTAAACTTAACAACCTGAGTTGTATGGTAATAACAATAAGCTTGTCTTCTGGATGGTTAACAACCTAAGTTTGCAGACCAAATTAGAGAAAAAGGAGGGCTGCAAGGAAAGCCAACTTTTTGGCCCTAGCCTTCTAAGGTCAATTAAGACTCAGGACATATGAGAACTTGTACTGTTACATCATGTAACTCGGTAGTGTCCCAAATTTTCTGATCAAGGAGATTATGGGGCCAAAGAGGAAAGTGATCGATGATGTAGAGTGTGCTTAAGGAGAGTCACATGGAGAGAAAACATTCTCTCAGGCTTTCACAGAGAGCACATTGGCCAAGCAATGGCCGTGACTCATCCACATGGCTGACACTGACAAAGGTTCTACAATCTGAGGTACAGGATCTCAGGATAAATCCTGAGGGGATTTCCCTGACCTTCTCAGACCCAAAAGCTACAACGCTTGTTGCATAGGTCCTGCTTTACCTTGGTCTTAACCATCCAGCAGAAAAGTATAAAAACGAAATATAAGAAGTAAAGCCATGGTGTTATGTTGAGCTGTAGGGGACTCAGGTCAACAATTTCTGACATTGCCAGTGAAGCAGAAGACCCAATACTATTATGGGCTACTGGACTCTTTTAGAATATTTTCCTGGGTTTACACACCTATAATATTCAAATAACGTAACTTAACAAAAAAAGGGTATACAGATGAATGTTCATTTTGTATCTGTGTATTCAAAGTGGTTAGGATAGATATATAGTTACATTCTCTTAATGAATAGAGGGATTTGTTCTAATGGTGTTTGTAAATAGGATATCATGTCTGCATCTTGTACAGCAATTAACCACTAGGAAAAATGTATGCAATGTGTTAATTATTGAAAGTGTCCTACCAATTTGATTTGAAATTGTCTCATTGCTATTTGTTTCTCAATAAAATTATGAAAAAAATTTCACCTTCATTAATTTTATATTAAAAAAAATTTTGAACTGAAGTACCACTAAATTAAATACCTTTTGTAAATAGCCTACATTTCTCTCCTTATTTCAAAAGTTGGATTTTTGGCTGGTATTTTAAAATTTTTCACATCTATCTATCTTACTGCACTGGAGACTGAATACAGGGTCTTCACACTGAGTACACACCCAGTCCATTTTAAAGACTATTATGGTAACTATAAGTTGCATAAATTGCAAACATGAACTAATAAGAAAATGTTATTTGAGACAGAGTCTCACGAGTTGCTAAATTCCCTAGGCTGGGCAGCACAGGTGGTCCTCCTGCCTTAGCTTCCCAGAGGGAGGGACTCAGTGTGGCTGGACAGGTTGGAGCATTGTTGGAGGCTGAGTCCTGACTAAGCCATCTCCCCCAGGAAGATGCAGCAGGCTGGTCCCTGCCCCTCCAGCTCCACATCCTTACTCTCCTGTCATCTCCTCAGGCCCTAATATTAGAAGAGATACAGGCACAGGGGCTTTATAGAGCCACGCATTATGCGCGGACTTAGAGTGCTAGGCATCCACTGAAGAAGACAACTTTCCTAGAGACATGGCCAGGCGCGCAGCTCTTTCTAGAAAGAAAGGCTCCAAAATATTCTGTTTGCCTTAATTCACAACTCAGGTGGCTCAGCCCACATCAAGGACTGTTTCTCTGCCCAGTGTCCATCCTCAGCAATTCCAGTAAGTACTGTACATCCAATTTTCCATTTTTATCTATGCTATGAATATCAATATTTCCCAGTGGTAACAGCGCAATGGAGCACAGCCTGACCACAGTTCAGTAATCCTCTTTTTCCTGGCTTTGTTTTGTTTTGAGACAGTGTCTCACTATGTGTAGTGAGGCTGCCTTCAGTTTCCTATATACCCTAGGCTGGTCTCGTACTCAAATTATCCTGCCTCAGCTTCCTGAGTGCAGAATTTGCAAGACCCCGACTTTAACTTTTTACATCAATTCTAAAAATTCAGAAAAAATACTAGAAAATATATAATCTAACATTTGAAAATTCAAGCATGATGTATCATATTTAAGTTGTGGTTATATGGACGTATTAGCTAACATGTTGACAAATATGTATGTATATGTTATATATTACATGACATACAATATATACCTATATAATTTTTGAAATGGGGACTTGCTGTATTGCGCAGGTTGGTTATCAAGCAGTCTTCATGCCTTAGCCTCCCAGATTGTTGGGATCACATGCCCAACAGGTTTATTAGGGGAAGATCTTGAACTTCATAAATATTTTCATAGAGCCACTATTCCAATCTTAAGGAATGTGTTAAGTGACTTGAGTTTGTAGCTATGCCCTGTGCTTGCCTTAGATTTTGTTATTCTGCCCAGAGTTTGTTATTTAGGTTACTTCTGAAACTATATTGACTAGACAGTTAAAAATGTAAAGTATGTTGAATTGGTTTTCCATCTGAAAAACTATATATATCTACTGTTTAAAAAATAAAAATCAGAGAAGTAGAAGAAAATTTTAAAATTCATCCATAATTATATTACTGAAAAGCAATTACTACTTTTAAAATTTGGTGGGGGTATATTTCTTTGCAGTTTCTATTTTACACACAGTGCCTTGTTTTATGTTGTTGTGATCATATTTTACTACAAAAAGTATTGTCTATGCCTTTATGTGACCTTATTTTTAGTGCCTAAGTCATATGTGTTATTAAATGGATATATCATTAATTTCCTTTATTTATGCCGATCTTGAGTGACCACAGTTAATGTTGTAACACTTTAAAGATTTTTTGATTATTTTTATTTATTTATTTATTTCATGTAGTTAATACTGGATCTACAGAGTCTCACTACACAGATTGGACTTGTAGGGATCCTCCTGTTTTCCGCCTCCCAAGCGCTGGGATTACAGGCACACACCATCATGCCCAGTCTCAATCACTTTCTCAGAGAGCCTCAGGGACAGGGCCAGCATGGTGTGTGGTGCCAGGAATGGAACCCCAGTCCCTGCACTCTGCCTAAGCAGGAGCTTTAGTCTGCTGAGCTATCTGGCGAGCCCTATTTCATATTATGAAAGTCTTAGAAATAGAAATGATGGGGCTGGAGAGATAGCTCAGTGGAATAAATGCTTGCCTGGCAAGTGCAAGGTCCTGAGTTTGATCCCTGGTACTGCAAAAAAAAAAAAAAGAAAGAAAGAAGGAAGGAAGGAAGGAAGGAAGGAAAGAAAGAAAGAAAGAAAGAAAGAAAGAAAGAAAGAAAGAAAGAAAGAAGGAGAAATAGAAATATTAGGTTAAAAAGTATAAATATTTCTTAGGTTTTTGGTACATGCTGTTAGATTGTCATTTAAAATTTGGTATTTATTTGGGCATATTTTCTGTCCTATAGGTATACTTTGGATAATGATGTCCTAACTTTTGAACAGAGAAAATTTTATGAAGATAATGGGTTTCTTGTCATCAAAAATCTGGTATCTGATGCTGATATTCAGCGGTTTCGGTACAGTAAAATTATTTATTTTACAAAAATAGGTATATATGTATAAAATAGGTTTAAATTAGATTAGCTTCTTTATGTTCTAAATTTTTTCTAGCTTTTTGAGACAGGGTCTCACTAGGTAGTTTAGGCTGACCTTGAACTCACTGTATACCCACCCCAAGCTGGCCTTAAGCTTAGAGTGATCCTCTTGCATCAGCCTCCTTAGAATTGGGATTATAGGCATGCAGCACCACGCCAGAGTTCCAATTTTTTTTAAATGTATTTGATACAGGGTACCACCACACAGCTTGGACTCGTAGTAATCCTCCTGTTCTCAGCCTCACCAGCGCTGGTATTACAGGTGTGCACCACCACACTGGGTCTTGGTGGCCAACACAGCACACCCAGGGGCAGGGCCAGCGCAACACGTGATACCAGGAGAGAGAGAGAGAGATGGATACTATATATATATATATATATATATATGTATTTAGTACAGAGTCTACAGAGTCTTACCATGTAGATCAAGCTTGTAGCAATCCTGTTTTCAGCCTCCCAACAATATTGTTTTATTTTTTTTTTAATTTTATTTATTTATTTGTGTGTGTGTGGCCAGCTCAGCCCACGAGGGGGCGGGCTGGCTGGCATGTGGTGCTGGAGGATTGAACCGTGGTCCCTGGGCTTTGCTAAGCTTGTTCTAAGTAGGTGCTTTAGACCACTGAGCCATCTCACCAGCCCCCCAACAATATTGTTTTAATGGTGCGGTTTGTTAGGCAATGTTTGGAGAAGGCATAACATGCTAGGCTGTGGCCTTAACCTCAGCTCACTGCCAGACATGATATGCCCCGGGTGTCATGTTAGCTTTCCATGCACTGTGCCCCCATCTGCAAAGTGGGCAGAGTAAAGTAGTGATGTTGCTAGTACAAAATGAGGTAAAATATATGGACAGCACTTTGCACAGGCCTGCACAGGACAGGTGCCACAGAAGTATTTGCTCTGAGCTTCCCTAATCCAAAAGTCCAAAATCTAAAGTGCTCCAAAATCCAAAACATTTTGACCACCTCAGTGCCACAGGCAGTAAATCCACACCTGACTTCATGCAGCAGCTTGGCATAAAGTCACCTTCAGGCTATGTGTGTAAGGTGCATGGGAAACATACATGAATCTTGTGTTTAGATTTGTGTCCTGTCTCTAGGATGTCTCATTATTCCAAAATTTTATAAAAATTAAGATGCTGGAAACACCTCTGTTCCCAAGCATTTCAGACAAGGGATAATCAAGCAGTGTCCCCACAGTGTGCCCACATCACAGTACAGCCTGCCTGTCTGCCCTCCTGTCAGATCATAGCACTGTGAACCCTGCTGTGAATGTGCATGCAAGGGATTCAGTTGCGGGCTCATTTGAGTCCCAGTCCTCCTCCCTGCTTAGTGAAATAAACTCTTTCCACAGAACCAATCTCCAGAGCTGAAGAGTTTGGGCACCATGGAGAGAAAGAATATTTTAATTTCGGCTGGAGGATAGGACTTCTCATCTGGCCCTTCTCTCTATCTTCCACCAGAATTATTGTGCCAGGGCTGGGGAGATGGCTCAGTAGAATAAGTGATTGCCTGGCAAGCACAAGGGCCTGAGTTCAATCCCTGGTTCTGAAGAAAAAAAAAAAAATTATTGTGCCAGGCCTGCAGGCTGACTCCTAGCCAATCTGTCTGTAGGACCAGGCAAGTTTGCTGCTCAGAGCCAGTGGTACTGATGCTATAAATTTAATTTTCCAGGGATGAGTTTGAAAAAATCTGTAGAAAGGAGGTAAAGCCACCAGGAATAACGATAATGAGAGATGTGAACATTTTGAAGTCAGAATTTACTGCAAATGAGAAAATGATTTCAAAAGTCCAGGATTTCCAAGAAGATGAAGAGCTCTTTAGGTACTGCACTCTCCCCCAGGTAAGAACTCTGCCTACATGTGTTTCCATCAGCATGTCTCCCCCCTAATCTGCTTTTTATTTGATCTCACCTCTTTCCATATTCGAAGCTAGCATGGTGGTTCTCAGCTGGAGGTGATTTAGGCCCACAGTGAGTATTGGCAATGCTGAAGACATTTCTGTTGTCACACCAGTGGGGAGGTGTGGCTTCTAATGGGTAGGTGCCACAGCTGCTACTGATAGGCCCCAAGCATCAAACACACAGAAGAGCCCTGTGCCCCAAAATTATCCCACCCAGGGGCCGGGGAGATGGCTTAGTAGAATAAGCACTTGCCTGGCAAGCACAAGGCCCTGAGTTCAATCCCCAGTTCCACCAAAAAAAGAAAAAAAAATTATTCCACCAAATACCAGTAGAGCCAGGACTGAGAAACCCTGCTGTAAGAGTGTGCTGATTATTTCTTCCTTTGAGAAATACAGGAATTCTGGGTTAAAGACTGAGCTCTTCTGAACTCTTCAATGCAGGAGTATCCACAGGAGTGAAATTATGAGGCTGTACTTTTGAATTCATTTTTTGTTTGTTTTGTTTTATTGCTCTGGACAATAGAGGTATGGGTTTGCTTTTCAATTTAAATTGAATTATTTGTTAAAAATTATTCTTTACAAGTAATGTATTTTTATGCAAACATACTGGCAACACAGAAGGACCTAACTTGAGAAGATCCTTGCCCCAAACCTCACTTTCCATGAAACTTTTTGTGTATTCACCTGGAATTGTGCAAGGCATGTGCAAGCTTTTCCATATACCATCAGCGTTCCTGGGTATGCCACATGGGAGTATATTATCAATTGTCTTCTTTTTCCCACTTACAGCAGATCTCAGACAGCTTTTATTATCAGTGTCTCTACTTCTGATTTCCCATGAAGTTGATTTTCTTCCTTTCTTTTAGATTCTGAAATACGTGGAGTGCTTTACTGGACCTAATATTATGGCCATGCACACAATGCTGATAAATAAACCTCCAGATACTGGTAAAGGACTTTTTTTTCTTAGGGAAAAGCAAGGAAAAAACACTGTTTAGTTAGCAAATGTAAAGTTGATCTTGTTAGCCTTGTCATGTATGTAACTGTCACACTTTGAATGAGTGAATGTTTGAAATTGTATTTAACTCTTAAAATAGCTACTATAATAGTGATTTTGGATGTTGACTCTCAGTTTATTGTAAGATTTTCAGGAGACTGCACATAAGTGCAGTGCTGCAAGCATAACTCTCCATGTATCATTCACATATCATTCAGTACTTCTGTGCCTCACTGGCCATTCTTAGCCATGATAGCATGGATTCTGTGTTCAGGAAATAACACAAAGCTGCTACTGTAAATCACACATTCAAGTGCTTAGAATGTCTTGTGCTTACTAAAGTGTTCCTAAAACCTCACTTGTAAAGAGATGATGCAGAAGTAAGCAACATTCAGGTGTCTGCATTTTAATAATTGTCCCCAGAGAGTCTACTGAGGTGGCTATGGACCCCACAAGAACCTTTTGAACCAACAGCAGAAATCAGTCATGAGAGGCCTTGTCCTTTTCTACTTTGCCTTTTGACAGAAGGGATTTCTGTGGTCAGACTGAAGGCCTGTGTCATCACATCTTCTTCCACATGTGTCTTGCCCAGCGAGGTCTGGTGACCAGAACCCTTGTGGTCATTGGCTTTGGCTGGACACTCATTGTAACCATGATACCCATCACTTTTTGAGGAAAGAACTCTTAGGGAACTGTTTTCAGCACCAGTGACTTAGAAGAGAACCTTAAATGTGGTCCTGTACCAATCTCCTCAATTTAATTAATTCAACTTTTAAAATATACTTTGCTGCTGCTTTGGTGATTCCAGTGTGACAGGGAGATGAAGTACAGTGGAGAAGCTGATGTCTGCCTGAGGTGCAGGCCGTTCTGGGGCCCAGCTTCTGGGGACCCAGAAGGAAGAATAGGACTGGGAGCCTCATGCTGATTTGATATTTCAGTTTATGGCTCATTTCCTAGGACTGCTTCTCTGTGGCTTGGTTTCATTTGTTTGGTTTTTGCAGAGAAAGGTCTCGTGTTCTACTTTTCACCTCTGTCTCTGTCTCTCTGTCTCTGTCTCTCTCTCCTCTCTCTCTCTCTCTCTCTCTCTCTCTCTCTCACACACACACACACACACTTCCTCGTACCTTCCTTCCTCCCTTTTTTTTGAGACTAATTCTCACTCTATAGTTCAGCTGGCCTTGCACTTACTATGTAGCCCAGGCTGGCCCCGAACTTGCAATGGAATGCTAATACGACAGGCATGCATCACCACCCCTGCTGAAGCATCTTTTGATAATAAGTTCTGTTTCAGGCAAGAAGACGTCGCGTCACCCCTTGCACCAGGATCTGCACTATTTCCCTTTTCGGCCCAGCAATCACATCGTTGCTGCTTGGACCGCCATGGAGCACATTGACCGGAACAACGGTTGTCTGGTTGTGCTTCCAGGTACCCACAAAAGCTCCCTGAAGCCACATGGCTACCCACAGTGGGAGGTAGGTCTGCCTAGCCACTGCATCGTGATCAGAATCTGTCACTGTGTTATCCATAAAGATGAGACATTTCCTTTCTTAGCAAAGCACTGTTCTGAGATTTACAATTCAGATGAAGGAAAGCTCCAAGCTGGCAGGTGAAATACTCAGAAGTGTGTTTTTTTGACATAAGTTTTAAAGCCAGCTAATGAGGGGGAGCTTGGGCAGGCATAAAATCTGAGATCTTAAGGCCTCATTGCAGCGGTCAGATGTAAACACTTTGACTCCACTTGAGGGGCAGGTGCCAAGTCTTACTAATTGATGGTTCTCAGGGTGAAGCAAAGTGAAGACCAGCAGAGGCTGGTGCTTGAGCTGAACCTTGAAGGACAGGGTAGAATTGCCTATAGCAGAGAGGTCGAAGGCAAACACAAAACTGGCCAAGGCCTGGGAAGAACCCAGGGAGCTCACAGTCCACATGGATGGGGTGCACTTGGGGCAGGAGCAGAGGAGGGTCTAAAAAGGTACATTAGGACTATTTAACAACAGTGAATATCCAGTCTATTTGTGGCTGGAGACCAATCCCATGGCCTCCACACTCAGCTACAGCACCAGCCTTTTTAAATTTTATTTTTATTATCACATGTATTTAGTACATGATGATTACATTCATCACAAGGAGTTGATATGCATATAGAACACGTCTTACTTCTTTTTACTTCTTCCACTTCACCCTTCTCTCTCCCTCTCTTCTATGTTTTTTCTTTCATTTTAAGACCTGATCTAGCTAAGTCATTCATTAAGTTGCCCATGTTAGGCTCAAACTTCAAATTCTCCTGCCTCAGCCTCCCTCTGGGTACCAGAATTACAGGCATGTGCTACCAAGCCCAGCTGAAAGCCTTCTTTATTTTAGGAATCTGGAAGAGCTGTTATTTGCTTTTTAAGTTTATTGAGGTATATTGTCATATAGAACCTGCATATTTTGAGTGTACAGTTTGATCATTTCGGCACATGCATATATCACTGCACACATTACAATCCAGAGGATACCTCCCCACCTACCCCAGGCAACTGCTGAGTTACTTTCTGTTCCTATAGATCAGTTTGTATTTTCTAAAAGGTTACATAGATGTATCACATGATTGCTCATAGGGGTGGGGCTTGTTTTTGCTTAGTATAGCTCTTTGTGGTTCACCAGCCTTAATAGCTACTTCCTTTCCATTGCTGAGTCGTGCTCATGCCACGCTCTGCCATTCAGGCGTTGCAACTGGGAGGAGTCGAATGCATTTGCATCCATGATAGTGAGACTGAGTCAGTTCTTCCAGAGAAGGATTCTCATGGTCTGGCCCGGTGTTTGTTGATGAATCCAGCACAGAGAATTGGAGAGAAGATTCTCAGCATTTTAAGTTTAAAGCTGAAAGCTCCTGAAATCCCTGTTGGTTATATAGGGATAAACTATAAGCGTCTCCTGTGGAATTTTCTCTCAGGAGCTTTCCCTGCTGAGTCATGGTCCAAGTGTTGATTATGATGGTTCTCACATGTAGATTTGGCTTCTCTTATGTGCTCAGGGTGGAGTCAACATAATGTTCCACGGGATCCAGGACTATAAAGAGGACAGTAGCCGTGTGCACCTCATAATGGAGAAGGGAGACACTGTTTTCTTTCATCCTTTGCTCATCCATGGATCTGGGAGGAACAGAACTCAAGGATTCAGGAAAGTATGTATTCACATGGCCACAGTTTTCAAAGATGAGCAGGTTAGAAACAAAAGTCTTAGGATTTTTTTTTTCAAAGTTTTATTGACAAACAGATAGCAATGAGACAGTTTCAAATCATATCGGAAGGACAGTTTCAACAAATAATACACTGCATATATTCTTCTTAGTGGTTAATCGCTGTACAAGATGCGGACTTGTGATCCCATTTACAAACACCATTAGAACAAATCATTCTATTCATTAAGAGAATGCAACTATATATCTATCCCAACCTCTTTGAATACACAGATACAAAATGGACATTCATCGGTATACCCCATTTTTTCTAAGTTCCGTTATTGAATATTATAGGTGTGTAAACTCAGGATTTTTTTTTTTAACGTGTAAAAGATTTATTTCTTTTCTTTTTAGTCCTGTTAATTTGAATTTTTATTGACTTTAAATTTTGTTTGAATTAACTTGAAAACATGTTTTGGTTTTACAGTCCTAAAAGAACCATAAGCATGAGTTGTCAATTTATTATGAGCTTCACATTTATGCATAGTTAAATGACAATAATAAAAATATCATTACTATGGAAGACCATGAGATATATGCTTCATTCCCCCATCTCTGTTTGTCCGTCTCTCTCCCTTCTCTCTGCCTCCCCCCTCCTTCCCTTCTCCCTCTCCCTCTCTGTCTTTCTTTCACCTGGAAATTGAAGCACCACCCTTTTTAAATTTTGAGACATGGTCTTGCTAAGTGAACACATCAAAAATTTATAACATTTCAGAAACCAAATTTTACATCCAGATTCTTTGCCTGGAAATTTGTTGCCTTCCTTATACTTTTGGTTTTTATCTTATCGGTAAGATTCTGTAGGAGACACTTCCAGGTCCTCATCTCAGTCCAAGAAGCCAATATTTGTAATTCCAAAGTTATGTTATTGGAATCCCATCAAATTGGTTCTAATCTACCACTTACAATGCAACCCATGGAGAAAATAAAAACACTAAATTATATCTTCAATCATCGGGGAGTCAAGAGGCTCTAAGTCCAGCCATGAAGATGACTTTCTGGAACCAAGTGCATGACCCAGGGCCTCACCCAGTTTTATTCAGTGGGGGAGTGGCTTGAGGATTAACTGAGAACTGTGGAAAAGAGACTACTATGAGCTGAGCTAGGTGGGTGGCCTAAAAATTTACCTCTGCGATATGCAGAGAGGATCTGCAGAGAGAGTAATCTGCACTATATAGTATCTAATGTTTTGGTAAGTCTGGTGCTTCAGCTTTGGTGTAGTCTTTCAAGCCCCAGGAAGTCATAGCCTCTGTCTGAAGGCTCAATCCCAGCTGGTGCTATGGAGCATTGGCTCTACCATCCTGTCTGGACTTGGCTCACATTAAAGAGCAGCAGGTGTAGGTTACCAGGGAAACATGCACGCCACCTTCAAAGGCTATCAGCAGCACCTCAGCTAGACCAATACACATTGCTTAAGACCAACTGAAGGATAAACAGAAGTCCTAGCCGGCTCTGTACATAACAATACAAGGAAATAGGGTCAGGCTCAGTCAAAATGGAGACAATTGCTCTTCTTTCAAGGAGAGCTGCTCAGGTGGTCCTCCACAAGATTCCAGGTGACCTTAGGACCCTAACCCTCTCAACCTGGAGTCATAACTGATGGAGAAAGTGCTGTGGAATACTAGCTTCCATTGGAGCTCACAAGCATAGCAGAGGGAAGTTTGCCACATCTTTACTATTAGAAAAAAAAATAATATTGATCTTCAGAATTAGCTGCTCAGAAGTCAGAGTTAACAGGCAGCCATGAGTTTCTCACCCTCAGTTTTAGAGTATTTTAAATTCAATGATTTTGGGCCAGCCAGATAACTCAGCAGACTAAAGCACCTGCTTAGGCAGACACAGGGACCAGGGTTTGATCCCTGGCATGCTGTGCTGGCCCCGCCCCCAGGGCACACTGAGACAGTGATTGAGACTGGGCATGGTGCGCATCTGTAATCCCAGTGCTTGGGAAGCTAAGAACAGGAGAATCACTATGAGTCCTATCTATGTAGTAAGACCCTGTAGAAAAAAGTAATAATTCAATGATTTCATTGCTTCCATTGAAAAATTGAAAACATTCCTCATCAATTCCCTGATTTCTTACTGCTGTCAAATTCAGCAACTCTGATGCTAGAGAGAGTTTGGGGCTTTCCAGTTTGTCTCCTGGATCCCAAGATCCCTGCAATCTCCCCTAGGCTTCTTTTTTGCCCAGAGCTCAGGAGAGCAGGCCTTAGGCTAAGGCTTTTCCTCAGGACAAAAAAGAAGGAGCATCCCAAAACAATCAACAATCCAGTTACATACTGCTTCAATAAATCAGAATGCATGTAAAAATCCATGCTATGCACAATGCTAACATTTTTAATAAAAGATAACATAAGACCCTGCATTTTCATAGCCCTCAGAGCTATGAAAGCAGAGCATATCTGTGTGCTCACAGGGAATGTTGTGAGTTTTAATATTCTGACTGCAGTTTTTAACATTTTTCTAATGATAGTAAGATGCCTTCTTTTGTAGGGTTTAAGGGTAGCTACTCATTAGGAAAAGTAATGCTTAAAACATTAAAGATCCTTGTTTAAGGGGTTATTTTCTGTGTCATATATAGATCTTTAAAATAAATAGTACAGGGGCTGGTGAGATGGCTCAGTGGTCTAAAGCACCTACTTGGAGCAGGCTTAGCAAAGCACAGGGACCATGGTTCAATCCCCAGCACCACATGCCAGCCAGCCCTGCCCCCTGGTAGGCTGAGCTGGCCACA